TTTAGAGTTTAACGAGTTGGCTATACGTAGGAGAAAAACAGGCCGGAATTGACCATTGCGCAATGGTACGTGCACCCTTACCAAAACAACGCATAGAGAGAGGTGTTCCGTATTGGTCAATTCCGGCCTGTTTTTTCTCCTACGTATAGGTTGGCTAACAAGCAGAAATGTTACGATTTTTGAAATCTGTTCTTATCGAGTGATTTCCATTCAATCTAGACTTAGCATGTTCAACTATCGATTTCGAATCAATTGGTTTATTTAGCCGAGTTATGTATTCAGAATTTAACGAGTTAGCTAACGAGCTAAAACGTTATGATTTTTGAACACCAAAGATCAAATCTGTCCTGATGGTGTGATTTCCAATCATTGTAGCTCTAGTATATTCTATGGATCTTGAAACTACTTGAACATTCAGATTGATTGGGTCTTTGGTTCAAAGAATTCTGTTTCGTTAATTTGTAACACTATCGATTCAGTCAGTAACGATATTTCCAGACCACTCCGCTAATCTCTCAAAGTCTATAAATACCTCGTTCTTCCCCACACTCTTGGCATCACGCAGCAGCGGGCAATCAGCTACGCACATCGCATGCGGAGGATCTCGGCGCAGGGACGCAACGAGGCGGGGGAGGGAGCGCACCAGCGCGGAGGTAGGCAAGCAGCGAGGCAACGAGCTGCGGGAGAGGGAGGCAAGCAGCGCGGCGCCAGGGAGGGAAGGCGCGGCGGAGGAGGGAACGTAGGGCGGTGGGGGGAGTCAAGAGAGAGCAAGGAGCGCTCGCAGAGAGCAAGGATCGCGGGTTATTTATCTCACTATCTCTTTTTATTTATTTCATTATCTCTTCTTATTATTCAATCATCTATTCAACTATTTTTTCACATTTATTTAATCATCTCTTCTCATTTATTCAATCATCTCTTCTCATTTACTCAACTATCTCTTTTCATTTATTCAATCATCTACTCAATCATCATCTTATTATCTCTTCTCATTTACTCAACTATTTCTTTTTATTTATCTCACCATCTCTTCTTATTTATTCAATCATCTATTCAACTATCTCTTTATATTTATTCAATCATCTCTTCTCATTTATTTAATTATCTCTTCTTATTTATTTAACTATTTCTTTTTATTTATTCAATTAATATTCAATTATCTCTTCTCATTTACTCAATCATCTCTTCTCATTTATCTCACTATCTCTTCTTATTTATTTAATCATCTATTCAATCATTTCTTTTCATTTATTTAATTATCTTTTATCATTTACTCAACCATCTCTTCTTATTTACTCACTATCTCTTCTCATTTAGTCAATATTTCTTTAATTATTTATTCAATTATCTCTTATTATTTATTCAACCATCTCTTCTTATTTATCTCATTATCTCTTCTTATTTATTCAATTATATATTCAATCATCTCTTCTCATTTATTTCACTATCTCTTCTCATTTATTCAAACATCTCTTCAGTCATCTATTCAATAATCTATTCAATTATTTATTCAACCATCTCTTCTCATTTATCTCACCATCTCTTCTCATTTATTCAATCATCTATTCAATCATTTATTTAATTATCTATTCAATTATCTCTTCTCATTTATTCAATTATCTATTTAGTCATTTCTTTTCATTTATTCTATTATCTCTTCAGCCATCTCTTCTCATCTATCCTATTATCTCTTCAGCTATCTCTTTCCATTTATCCAGTCATATATTCATTCATATATCCAGTCATATATTTCATTATCTATCTTACTATTTATCTTCTCCCATTTACCTTGCCATTTATCTTATATCATTTATCATCATTTACCCCCTATCATTTATCGCTTACTATTTATCTCTTATTATCTACCTCATCATTTATTTTGTCATTTATCTTGTCATCTACCTTACTATTTATCTTATCATTTATCTATACCATTTACTCTGCCATTTACTCTACCATTTACTCTGCCATTTACTCTGCCATTTACTCTGCCATTTACTCTGCCATTTACTCTGCCATTTACTGTACCATTTATCTTGTCATTTATCTTGTCATTTATATTATTATTTATCTCCTCTCATTTATCTTCACCATTTATCTACATCATTTATCTACATCATTTACTCTGCCATTTACTCTGCCATTTACTATACAATTTATCTTGTCATTTATGTTATCATTTATCTCCTTTCATTTTCCTCCTTTCATTTATCTACACCATTTATCACCATCTATCTCTCTCATTTATCTCCTTTCATTTATCTTCTTTCATTTATCTACACTATTTACCACTATCTATCTCTCTCATTTATCTCCTCTTATTTATCTTCTCTCATTTATCTCCTCTCATTTATTTCCTTCCATTATCTACACCATTTATCACCATCTATCTCTCTCTTATTTATCGCTTACCATATATCGCTTATCATCTATCTCACAATTTACCCCCTATCATTTATCATCATCTATCTCTTATTTATTGCTTATCATTTATTCAATCATCTAACCCACCATCTACCTTTCGCCATATACTCTACCATCTATCCCACCATCTCCATTTCTTTATTTACTCTTTCATTTATCTTACCATTTATCACCATTTATCTCATCATCTATTTTGCTATTTATCTCTTACAATTTGTCCCACCATTTATCACCATCTATCTCATCATCTACCTTTTATTTATCTCTTACAATTTATCCTACCATTTATCGCCATCTATCTCATCATCTACCTTTTATTTATCTCTTACAATTTATCCTACCATTTATCACCATCTATCTCATCATCTACCTCTTATTTATCTTTACTATTTATCTTACAATCTATCTCACCATCTATCACTATTTATTCTACCATTTATTACAATCTGTCTCACCATTTATCACCATTTATTCTACCATTTATTACCATCTACCTACCATCAATTTACTATTTATTTCACCATCTTCATTACTATATATTTACCATCTGTTCAATTATTTACTCCAACATTTATCTTACCATATATCGCCATCTATTTGCCATCTACCTTATCATTTATTCTACCATTTATCGCCATCTATTTCACTATCTATTCGCTGTATTTTCACCATCTATTTACTATCTATTTGCCAGTTATTTGCTATTTATTTTACTATCTACCTCATTATTTATTAATCATTTATCTCACTATCTATTTACCATCTATTTCATCATCTATCCCTTACTATCTATCCCTTACTATCTATCCCTTACCATCTATACCACCATTTATCTCCTTCCATTTATATCACCATCTATTTACCATCTATCTTATCATTTATCTCACCACCTCTATCACCATCTATTTGCCATTTATCTCACCATATATTTACCATTTATCTTTAACCCTTTATCTCCTTCCATTTATCACCATTTATCTCCTCTCATTTATCTCACCATCTATTTGCCATTTATCTCACCATATATTTACCATTTATCTTTAACCATTTATCTCCTTCCATTTATCATCATCTATTTGCCATTTATCTCACCATCTATTTACCATCTATCTCACCATTTACCTTTCAATATTCATCTCCTCTCATTTATATCACCATCTATTTGCTATCTATCTCATCATCTATTATCATTTATTTCGCCATCTATTTGCCATCTAGCTCACTATCTATCCTATCCATCTCTTATCATATATTTACCATATACCTTACCATCTATCTCCTACCATTTACCTCGCCATCTATTTGCCATCTAGCTCACTATCTATCCTATCCATCTCTTATCATATATTTACCATATATCTTACCATCTATCTCCATCATTTACCTCTCACCATTTATATCATTATCTATACACCATTTATCCAACCATCTATCTTCCACCATCTAACCCACTCATCTATCTCATTCATCTATCCCAACCATCTCTTGCCACTTATCCACGGATACCTCCCCAGTTGAGATCCTCCTACACAGCTGGAGAAATAGGGAGAAGCGGCAAGCGTCTTAAAGCCCTACGAACGGACACCTTTCCCAATAGAGATCCTCTTGTACAACTAGAGAAACGGGGAGAAGCGGCAATAGTCTTAAAGCCCCTCAACAATTCTATTGATCTCTTTCTTCTTCTTCAAAAACAAAGAAGATCTATTATGTGAATGGTCACCTCTACCAATAGAGATCCTCTTGTACAACTAGAGAAACGGGGAGAAGCGGCAATCGTCTTAAAGCCCCTCAACAATTTTGTTGTCCTTGATTTTTCTTTTTCTATTTATGGAGAAAACCTATTATTTGAATGGACACCTCTCCCAATAGAGATCCTCTTATCCAACCAGAGAAACGGGGAGAAGCGGCAAGTGCTTTAAAGCCCCTCAACAATTTTGTTGTTCTTGTTTTTTCTTCTTCCACTTATGGATAACATCTATCATTAATGAAACATGAAGATAATTTATCTCGAGCTTGAAATCCAAATTGCGCGGAATCAACGGGAATGAGATGATGTATAATAAGCTTAGCATAATAGAAATGTCATGAGTTTGTTGGAGTACATCTGAATTTCACTTTGCTACATGGTGATCATGGTGATGTGAGAAAAAACCAAATGTTGTTTCGATTGTTTATGATATCTGGCAACTTAGCTTAGAGTTCAAGTGAATTTACTGTTGAGTATTGCTCGAAGAATGAGACTCTTCAATCGAAAACCTTTGGTATTACGCATATATATTAAGGCCTCCATCTTTCACATTCATCAATCAATCTCAAACAAAGCACCGCCTATTCTAATTCTCGTGTATCAAATGAAAAATATATTCCCCCTTCATTCATCCCCTCGTCACACAATGATATAAAAAGTACCCGCTAAAGACTTCACCAATCTGAAGAAGAACCTGCTCGTGGAACACCAATGACGGATGTGACATCACCCAATACAATCCCCAAGAACCAAGCACAGAGTCCGATGCATCTGAATCATCTCGTTCATCTCGTTCATCGAGGGCAACCGAGGGACTGGAATTTTCAGCTCAACTATGGCCCGCAGATTCTCTCTTCGTGATCTCTTCGACTTCAGACGCTGAAAAACGCTCCTTGCAGGCTCCTATAAGAACTCCTCCTATGAGAATCGGCGTATCTGTCTTTCCAATCCCCGCATCATGGCAATGGCCGTCACCCTCATTATTGTAATTTTTTCCGTCTTCGTAAAGGGTAGCAGGAGGGCTCGAATTATCCACCCGATTATTCCAATTTTCTCCCCCTCTTGCTGGCATTAGACAGTGGCGTGTATCTCTTACGGATAGGTGAACCAACACGCACAGCTATACCAAGCGGACCAGCCGCAGTTAAGATGTTATCGCCGAGAGCGTCAGATACAATCGCAGGTGTGCCGTCTCGATTAAAGATTGCATTTGTGCTCCCAGGTGCGATTGGATTCTATGATTTAGAGACTTTTAATATGCACTTCCGCTTCTCTGTTTGTAACACATTTAAACAAAGGAAGAGAATAAAAGTACCAACCAAAATGGGATGACATCCTGCTACCTCCAAAATCGCCAGTACTAGAAGAATTGCAATGGCATATGGGCGCATTTCGAAGATGTGAGTGGTAAGTTAATTCGTTAAGAAAACTTTCGTAAATGTGGTTGACGGCGCGAATATATAACATCAACAACAAATCCATTTTACAGATAGTAATTCTCCAAGTGACAATCTATGAATTGGAATGATCAACTGCTTGTGAGTCCGATATCACATTGTATCTAGTCTGGATCAATACGCAAGAAACATGTGGTCATTAAACTCTAAAGCTCCTTCCCCTGACTCGTACATCTATTTATTCCTTCCTTGTGTGAAGAAGGCTTAGCTTAGCCTCAGTATTTTGGTGCTAAGAAGGTTTCAGCAGAGCAGTTACAGTATATGTAGGCTTTCGAAAGAGAATCACAATAACATACAATTCAATTAACTTCAACGTTTCGTCAGAATGATATAAAAGAGTAGAGGTCACGCAATTGATCACGGGATAAATTCATGTCCCGAAAATGAATGACAGTGTTGTAAAGTGTAAGTACGATATGTTTGACTCTAAAAGCGAATTAAGATTGATGAATGATCACTGAAAGATCTTTGTAATTGATGAAGAAAGCACTGAATACCTGAACGCACATCTTACAACAATAAGTGAAGCAAGCCATACCATTGATTTGGGAAAGGTTGACATGTCTAATAGCGATATTGAAGTTTCGATCCTTCACAATTTCCTGATACGGGCGGTCCAAGATCACCTGGGCATTGTGCAATAGACAGCAGTATTACACGTGCCTCCTAGCTGAGTCCTACGAATGTTACACAAGGTTTTAATAATACATCGAATTCATGGCCAAAAAAAATTGACTTTAAACAGGCAGGGACTCATTATCTGCACATGACGTCTTGACTTCCCATGGATTTCAAGAAGGCAGGTGGATAATCACAGCCAGCATAAGAAAGAAAGATACGCAAGATGCCGAAGAACTGACTCTATTAAAAAGTCCATTTAAACTAAAAAGATGAATACTATCTTGAGTATGAAACTTCACACATCCGATGTCAATATTGACTGACAAATTTATAGACTTGAAGTTATACATTCCTTACATTGTTTGGTTGAGATCCTCCTTACTTTATTACCAGAGTCCACGTTGATACTATGCCGGGCAATTGTGCCGATCACGACTGGAATAGTAATTTACTAAAACAAGGTTGTCCGTTGGTATTTTCAAGTCTAACAGCGATGCATCATATTGACCATTTATGTCAACCCGGATAATCGCAATGACCAAATCGAGAAAGTATACGATGCGCAGGCGATTTGACTCTGGATCCATCAGGACCATATAGAAAAGATCCTGATATAACCTGGATCGGAACACCTCATGTTTATGCTTGTCGAAATTGGAACGAACCTGTAGCTGGTATACAAAAAGAGGTGAGATATTTGGGTATAGGAGGTGGTACTTGAATGAAGTCGATTACGTTCGACATCTCAGCTGTACTTTGAGAAGGCGAGTGAAGCATTCGTACCACCAAAGCCAAAGCTATTAGATACTGAAACCTTGACTTCTTTTTCTTGTGTCGAGAAAGGGACATAATTGCAATTCATGTTCTCATCTGGATTGTATAGATTGAGTGTGGGTGGAAGTATGTTCTAGGAAACAGTTAGTGATTAGAAATCGCACGTGATATCATATTGTACCTCTTTCACAGCCAAGATTGAAAAAATAGCTTCCACTGCACCAGCTGCACCTAGCAAATGTCCAATAGCACCTTTAGTACTACTGACTGAAATCTGACTTGCGGTATCAAGCCCTTCCTCCCCAAGCATCAATCTTGTGATAGCAGCATTTTCGGCAGCATCACCTAAAGGCGTACTTGTAGCATGAGCATTAATGTAATCAACTTCTCGAGGTGAAATTCCAGCATTTTTGAGAGCTCTTTTCATCGCCAAGAATGCGCCAGCTCCATCTTCCTTCGGAGCAGTGATATGATGTGCATCACCACTACAACCATATCCACGTATTTCGGCATATATTTCAGCTCCGCGAGCCTTAGCATGTTCTAATTCCTCTAAGACAACGACTCCAGCACCTTCTGCAATAACAAAACCACATCTATCTCGATCGAAAGGACGGGATGATGATTCGGGGTTGTCATTATATTTGCGAGCAAGTGAACGAGCTTTAGCAAAGCCGGCAAAAGCTAATGGATGTATGCAAGACTCAGAACCACCAGCTACCATCACATCTGCATCTCCAAAAGCGATAAATCGAGATGCATCGCCAATTGCATGCGCGCCAGTTGTGCAAGCGGTTGTAACTGCATGATTCGGACCTTCAAATCCATATTTCATTGATATATGACCCGCCGCGAGATTTATGAGGAGTTTTGGTACGAAGAATGGGGATACCGATTTGTAGCCCTATAAAAATCTCAATTAATATTTTGATTAGAAAAAAAAGATGTGTTACCATTCTAGAATAATTGTTGCTAGCAGTATAAAGCTCATCCAATCCCCCAATACCACTGCCAAGGCAAACACCAGTAGATTCTTTATCCTCTTGTTTTTGTGGTTTCCATCCTGCATCCTGGAGTGCCATTTCCGTAGCTGCTATTGCATATTGTGTAAATTTGGCCATTCGTGAATCTTCTCCTTTCTCTAACCAATCCGTAGCTCGCCATGAATCCTTCGCATCGTTACCAGATGGCACAAGACCAGCTATTGTGCTAGGAAGACTTTCTCGTTGTGAGGTTTCGAAATAATTCGTGGGTAGCGAAACTATACCACAATTTCCTGCGAGAAGACGACTCCATGTAGGTCGGATTCCTACACCTAATGGTGTTATGGCTCCAAGGCCTGTTACTACAACGCGTCGCATGATTGAAGCATTATGATGATATCGCGGGGATTGATTAAATTGAATGAAAGCCGACGCGGCCGCGTTGATTAGTAAGCAATCAATATCCAGACGACATCTCCCTGGGAGTCCTCAATCACCTCTTTTGCTATTGAAGACCCATCTCCTTATTTCATGAACCCACATCGCGTGTTCATTGCCAAAGACTTTATATCAAATTACTTACCAGTTTAAAGCTTCAGTTACTTATACATCAGCTAATCCACTTTCCAACCCATAACATCAAAATCTCCTCTACATAATCATGATCTGAAACGACCTCCCAAGAGATCTCCCCTTGCCATCTTGTGTTTACTGATTATTATGGTAAGTTCTTGTCACCAAGTTGCCAGTCAGTTTTCTGCCCCCAAGACTTACTGTCATTACCTATTGAGTCCAGCCAACCGTATTGTCACAAACCAGGTATCAAATCTCATTCGCACGCATTTGTAGCTTCAATGTATCACATCACATAAGGTTACTAAATATTCGCTGGCGGATGATTGTAAGATATTTGCATCGATGACTTCGTTTGGTATTCTGTTATTCCATTATCTTGCTGGCCTACCATGTATTTCATCTTTTAAGTGGAAGAAAACAGAATGAAAACAATGAGCACGACGAAGTATCACAAGTGCTTACATGCCATTTCTCTTGAGGAGTTAAAGGTTAGACTTATGAATTGTGAAAACTCTCATCCTAATCTCTTCCTCTCTCTTCGAAACCCCTTATGCTTAATTTCAGTTATCGATTTATGGAACTGTTCGATGTTGAAGCGCGAGTGTTTTCCACTATCATGAAGTAGGGATTCCCTTCCGTAGTTATTTGGCGATTTCCCGATTATGGAGCAAAATCGATAAAAATCATACAGGATAGTAATATGAATTGCAAGGGGCGCCAGCGTTATGATTTAATCAAAAAAACAACGCTTTGTATGTAAGAATTACAATTATACGATAACGATATCTATTCCCATCTATCTGAACTACGTATAGAATTAAGCTTGTCTATGTGACCAATCATTACAGAATAAATACACCTGAACAAGACACTAGGCCTATCACGACCTGAATTTCCTACCCAAAAAGTCTAATTTTATAGACTAAGCAGATTACGATGACTGATTGAAATACATTACTCCCTCAGGGGGATCACATAGAAAAATTATACAATAGTTTTTAGAATCAGGTATGAAAGTGAGGCTATTCACATGTCATTCACACACACACGTATTGTCACATCACAATTAATCAAATACATCATCATCGAAGACAGCAGTGTTGGCAATTTATTTGTTATTTTGTTTCATACGAGCGCCATTCGGCCAAGCGAGTAGGGAAACCCCATCTTGATGGGGAAACCTAAACGACTCGTCTATATGAAGAAAGTCAAAAACATGCAAGGATACAAGTACGAACAAATTCGAGATCTATGAAGATACAAGAATAAATAGAAATAAAATACAAAGAAGACATTAAAAATTCGAGATCTATGAAGATACAAGAATAATCAGAAATAAATAAACAAAATGAAAGTACAGAACTGAATACAAAGGAAATAACAAGAAAAAGTAATCAAAAACACAATTATTCAAACTGTTCATCATCTTCTTCATCCATAGTTGGTGAGTCGAGAGTCCTCAAGTGTTGTTGCCATTGTTGATAGAGAACTTCTTCTTCGCGTGAGTGGTACCTGGGTTGTTGAGCGGCTCTTGGTTGTTGAGCGGCTCTTGGTTGTTGAGCGGCTCTTGGTTGTTGAGCGGCTCTTGGTTGTTGAGCGGCTCTTGGTTGTTGAGCGGCTCTTGGTTGTTGAGCGGCTCTTGGTTGTTGAGCGGCTCTTGGTTGTTGAGCGGCTCTTGGTTGTTGAGCGGCTCTTGGTTGTTGAGCGGCTCTTGATTGTTGTTGATGGGAATACGCGTAAGTGGTTCGTGGAATTGGGGGTTGGTTCCTTGGGGGTTGAGGGGGTTCGATGACGAGGAGACGAAGGTGAGCGTCAATGAGGTTTAAGACTCTCGCTTCTTGAGCGGTGAGTGGGCGTTGGTTGTTGTTAGAGTTGGAAGACATTGTGATGATGATAGATGTGTTGTTATGTTGTTATATTGTTGTGTTGTTGTGTTGTTGAGTGTTGGATGTTGGATGTTGTTGGTAATGGTTGGTTGTACGAATGGAAGTCAGACTGTGTCTACGAAAATCAGAAAGAGGTCTTACACAGGGAAATCTCGAGCCTTTTATGTGTTTCACAACGAACTAATTCATTAGCTTCTCAATCTTAGACGTGAAAAATCTTCTCTTCAGATGATCAAAATAATTACTAGTGCCTCGAAAATTCTACTGGTGCTCTGCTATAGATAGAAGATCAGCATGTACTAGAAATATTGTTCTTGAACTCTAATTTCTTGACAGCACATTCTCGAATTTCCAATATTTCTTCCAGACTGTAGTGCTTTTCCGAATCTAGTCTTCACATTTCGAAGTGACTATTGCGTTCTTGATCTTAGCAGTTCGTTATTTCAAATCAATTTGATAGTGAAAATCGTCTCAACGCTTAGAAAAGACTGTGTCGGGATATCGATCATGTGATCTAAGAGGGCACTGTATTGCACTAGCGTATGTACTAGCGTATGCACTAGCGCTAGCACTTCTACTATATTAGATACTAGCTTCCCATAGTTAATAATGAAGAAGAACGAATACAACCACAATATAGACTAAAGTACTTTACACTTTATCAACCAAGTTGATACCAACAGACTGAATAGGTTAAAATCAACAATTCTTCTACTATCATTGCACTCTAAACTCTGATCTATTGAATGAGCATTCTGGTTCTTTCTCTCGGCAAAAATTGCAGTCTAAACTCTGGACATTCCAGTTTTTTCTCTCAGTAGACAGTCAATATATTTCTAATGGGCGTGGCTAAGATTGCCATAGTTTCTTGCAGTTTGACCACTGTGTGTGTCCTATTCGACAGCAAGATCTTGCTCATCGTGGCCTCTTTATATCGCACTAACTATATCTGGGCGATTTTAACGAAGTCTCGTTTACAGGTTCTTGGTTCTCGGTTCTCAACCGCCTACTCAATAAGATTGTCGATTCGGTAAATTCAGGAGATAGTATCACTCGTGTAGATTCTAAATTATGTAACTTTCAAGTATACCATTTGACTTCCATTCTACATTTCAAAATCAATAGTACTCCCCCATAATTACTCAGCCTCAATTCTAGAGCGCTCTCTCTCAAACATCTTGTCTACACTATCGAATTTTTCTCACACACTAGAATAGCAAGAGTCACATCCAAATCCAAATTTTCATCCAGGCAGAAAAAGATAGAGTTTGTTCCATACACTCATGTGAACCATCTACTAGTCCACCATACTCTTGAACATCAACAGTTATATCAAATTTCTGGCCTTATCCGGGCCCCACAAACTCGGGAACAAAACAAACTTTCCTATAAACCATCTACTAGTGTATCATCTCCTAGCACACCAAGAATCCCATTAAAATCTCTATCTTCATCGTAACCAGATATTTCCGCAACAAAGTAAACTTTTCCACATAAACCCAGGTGAATCATCTACTAGTACATCATTTATCAACAAAAACCGGGGACTAGTACATCGATTCTTAGTACATGTTTTCAAGATAAGCATCTCCAATTCCCGACTCCCGACTCCGGACTCCCAGCTCCGGATTTTCAATACTCACAACCAATACAATCAAATCAAATCTACCCCACCCCCTAATCCCAATAAGTTTAGCATGTACTACTGTCAATAACCCCAGACACTAAATTAGTACGCGGGGTAAGTGACCGAAAATTCTGAAACCCATTCAGGAGACCCTCGCTAAAAACATCTCGTTTCGAGAAATTAGTAATTTAATGTGAAGAATCTACTTTGTTTTAGAACCTTGAGATATAGATTTAGATGTAGATATCGGTAAGAACTTTCAATTATAGAGATTTCTAAGTCTTGAAAAACTATTTGTCGATCTAACAAATTCTGTCGATCCGGATCTCTCGGGTAGGGAAAACACCTTGTGAGATTCTCGATGCCGATCACATCATATCATATTAGTGTAAATACGGACTCGTGAATGAAGAAACATAGAATCTAAAACCTAAAATGTAGAACAATGAGTCAGAGATATAGACTAAAATTGCTATCCCAATCCACGACCAGATCCTTACAATCAAATATCTAATCCCAGATATCGAGATTCTATTAATGCCAGGTGACACATCTCCAAAACCTAAACTTTCTGAATTGATCTCTTTTCAAAGCTTGGGGAGCGTTCAGATGGCGGATGAACCAAATCGTCTATATCCGTTAACTCCAGATACCACGTAATACAGATTTCCGGACCATATCTTCCGGATAGTCGTTGGATAGAATTTTTCAGTAGGCAGGTGTTCCAAGAGCCGCTCATTAACTATCTAGTATAAAATCGTTAAAAGAAGCCAGCTTATCATTTCAAACACATAACGTAACATCTTACCCCTCACAATCCTCTCATCCCGTATCCCTCAGCCCTAAATCTCCACTCCAAACTCAAAGATCGTCCCAGACAAAAACCACCCACCTATCTCTATTACTTACCCCCTAGATTCACAGAAGCGCTAGTTTCCGGAGCATCTTCCCCGTCGTGTTTGGATGGAATCTTCTAGATGGGTAGATATGCCGAGAAATGCTCATGATCTCCAGTAAATGATTATCAAGATGAGATGAACAATCTTTCAAAATACACAGTATGAAATCTCACCCCTCGCAATCTACCACTCTTATTCAGTATGTGCGACAGAAGCCTCGGCCGATGAGATATAGAAATTCACACATACAAACACACATACACATGAACACACCATTTTTTTCAAGTCTCTCCCCCCTATCTTTTTTCATCCTTCCATCTATCCACCCATCTATCTATTTATACACCCATCTATCAATCTCATCTTTACTTTCATACCCACTATATTCAAATTCTTACAACAAAGCCCTCTCTCAAAAGCAAATACCAACCCCCATTTCCATTTCCAAATCCCTATACCCCTCCCCCTTCCCATCCATTCCCCTCCCCATCCCCATTCCCATTCCTATTCCATAAACTCGCATATCACAAAATCGACATGAGACCATCAATTCATCAATCAATCCATCCATCCATCCATCCATCTACCTCCCGCTACCTATCTAAATAAATCAACAAACAGTATACACATCATCTCACCCACCCACCCAATCTCACAAACATCCATCCCTCCTTCCCTCCTTCCCTCCTTCCCTCCTTCCCTCCTTCCCTCCTTCCCTCCTTCCCTCCTTCCCTCCTTCCCTCCTTCCCTCCTTCCCTCCTTCCCTCCTTCCCTCCTTCCCTCCTTCCCTCCTTCCCTCCTTCCCTCCTTCCCTCCTTCCCCAACCCTATCTTATCTTTTGATCTATTCATTTTCACATTCATTTTTCTATACAAAAAGTACTTTATACACATACCTACACATACACATACAAATACTCAAATTCACATTAATAATCGATGCTCATTCATTCATAGATATTTATATGCAGAACTTGATATAATTCAATTCAACTCAATTCAATTCAATTCAATTCAGTTCAATTCAATAAACACCTGGGCGCTCTTCGCTCTTTACTCTTTCAGTTTTTGTACTCGCCTCTTACTTTTCACTTCTCTTCTAAATTCTAAATCCCAGAATATAGAATCTAGAATCTAGAATCTAGCTACGTACTCCCCACTTCCCCGTTTCCCCTTCACCCCCTTCACCCCCTTCGCTCCCCAATCACTCCCCCGTCACTCCCCAAACCATTCTTCAAACAACAAACCCCAACCCCCAACCCCAAACCCCCAACCCCTCAATTTTAATTCCGATTCTAATCCTAATCCCAAAATACTAATATCTCAATCTTGATCTTAATCTTACATCCTACGAGCGAATAAGTACCTAGGTATATAGTAAGAAATATACTTATCTATTCCAGATTATATTATACTATCACCTGAACTCTTATTTATATAATATAATTACATATCGATATTTTCATTTCTATTTCTATTTCTATTTCTATTTCTATTTCTATTCTATTCTATTTCTATTTCTATTCTATTTCTATTTCTATTCTATTTCTATTTCTATTTCTATTTCTATTTCTATTTCTATTTCTATTTCTATTTCTATTTCTATTTCTATTTCTATTTCTATTTCTATTTCTATTTCTATTTCTATTTCTATTTCTATTTCTATTTCTATTTCTATTTCTATTTCTATTTCTATTTCTATTTATATTCCGCGATATTTTCATCTGTATTTCTTGGATTGTTATTATTATTATTATTATCATTATTATTATTATTATTATTTTTTATTTTTATTCACATTCACATTCATCTAAGAGCATTTCTAAGAGTTCTGGAACCTACTCACCGCACCCCTGTGACAAATGTGACAAAATCCCCGCAAAAATAAGGTTTTCCCATATAAATTATTATATTAAATATTTCATTCAAATCTTTATATTTTTCTTTCAAAAAAATTTAAAATAATAAATAATTATAATCAAAATATAAAATATTTTTTGAAATATTTATCATTATTTTTGTTGAATAGTTGTATAGTATTGAAATCCAATTTTTTTAAAAATTCTAATATGTAATGTTTTTCTCATACAAAATAAGCGAATTTTCATGAAAATTTAGAAATTTCAATTTCAATTCCTTCAAATCCTATTTAAAAAATTAGAAAAAAATATTCTATTCATTTTTTTATAGAATTTGATTAATTAGAAAAGATTTCCCAGAAGAATTTCTAATTTTATCTTTTATTATAATAAATAAACTAGGGTATAAAAAGTTGAAAAATCCTATATTTTGGTTGGAAAAGCGTTACATATACAGTGAGTAGATTCCAGAACTCTTACAATCCCAAATCTAATATCTAACATCACACTCAGCATCACACCAGCTAATCTAGCAATCAAAAATCCCTCTAAATTCCCAAATACACGAAGAAAAAAACAAAGAAGGAAAAGAATACAAAGTATCAAATCCATC